CTCTCTCTCTCTCTCTCTCTGAAAGATATAATAATCAAATTTCCAATACATATAAGGCCTGCTCTATATGCAGGACATGGGTGTCGCCCACCGGGACATCAAAGAGGACAACATATTGGTGTTTAGCGGTGCGGTCGCCGGTGACTACGCGGCCAAATGGACAGACTTTGGAAACGCTGTGTCGCGGGATGTGTACCACAAGTGGGGTATAGATATACCGGTGGATCAGATGCACCAAATGATGCGCAAAGACGTCGTTGATTTTGCCTCCGTTTGTACTGATTTGATGAACAATTGCGCTGACGATGAAAGCATTGAACCCAAACTCCGGGATCAGGTGCTGGAAATGGTGGCCGCGTTGGTGGTAGGCATCGAACCCTTAGCTGATATTCTCGAAAGATTTCCCGGTGTTTAGGGAGTGTTTGTTTTAAAGACTAGTAGTGTTTTATATTACGCCAGAGTTGAATTAGCCTATTGAATCATATTAAAAACTAATGCCAAAACAATTTACATTAATGCGCGTATAATGTATCGCTAAAATACGAGCATATCATCAACATGTGTTGATCCGTAAGTATTGGTTCAATTGGTAATACCGATATTGGATATGATGAGACATACAATTCAAGCAAATATTCATACGTTTTCCTTAACATGTAATCTCAATCTATTGGCATTAATACCTGAAAACATGGTAACAATATTTGGTGAACCGGTTTTCACTATCAATGAGAACACGTGTTGTTAAGGATATCCATTTGTCATCCATTTTGGGATAAAAGACATTGAATTTACTTTTGCACAGAGTTTCAGTTGTTTTAAAATAAACTTAAGTAAAGTTTTTATTGAATTTGTTTTAATATGTGTTCAAAATTAATGAATGTTTAGTTGATTGAAATGAAGAGTAAATTAAATGCAATGAAGAGTTTGTGTGAAATAATAGACAAAATTCAGTGTATTTTGAATACAAATAATAGTGTTTTGTGTGAAGCGATTGAATGCGAAAATAATGATTATTTTTCAGTCAATCAAACAATTGATTGCAATTCATGTAAAATCAGTGATAAGATGCTAAACAATTGTCATATCATTACTAAATCTGACGATTATTTTTACTGTTTTTGGCCTAAATGTCAATTCATAACACATTATAAAAAATGTTTAACTTCACATAAATTAAATCATTCAGTAATAAAACAATTTAAATGTGATTTTAAAAATTGTAATAAAAGTTATAAACATAAATCACATTTAATTCGTCATAAAAATCAAGTTCATTTAAATGTGAAATTTATTTGTGATTTCAATGAATGCAACAAAAGTTTTCAATCAAAACAGCATTTATTTCGACACAAAAGTTGTGTTCATTTGAATGAAAGGAAATTCAAATGTAATGAAAAAAATTGTGGCAATAATTTTAGCCTTAAATCAAATTTAATTCGACACAAACGCATACATTCGGGAGAAAAACCGTTTGTTTGTCATTTCAATGATTGTAATAAAAAATTTTCAGATTCATCTGCTCTAAGAATACATATGAAAAGACATCTGAATATAAAAAGCCATAAATGTATTCATAATAACTGTAATAAACAGTTTGTTTCATCGAGTGATTTGCATCAACATATTAGGTACAGGCATAAACATATTTAATAAACATTTTCTATATATGAATATTTTCAAACTCTGTAATTAATTAAAATATTTTTAAATAAAATTCCATAGTAAATGCTAGACCTGACATAACCCACAGATACTATACATAATTTTATTAATTCATCTCAACAATTTAATTTTAAATTTAAAAAACAATAAAATGGTGTTGAAAATATAACCGCATAGTAAAACTTGATTACAAAATCATGTCCAACCGATCAGCACATGAATCCCCTTCTGGGGAACCGTTTGGTAATATACAAGACATTGAGGCACCGGTAAACGCGACCAGTTTCCACCCGACCCTATTGGACACAAACCCGGCCGACATAGCGGGCCCACTACTAGCACCACAACCTTTGCCATACGGTTACGCACCGGCCTATACTCGAGCCACAACACCACAGCCCATGTACTCAACCGAGTTGGCCGAGTCTGGTATCTTTGGGCCACCGGTCAATACGGCCGCACCAGTCGTTGGAGACAATTACCGGCGACGATACCGATCGGTGTCATTGCCGCCGGACCTATACTCCAGGCCCAGCCATCAGGACATACCAGGGCTGCTCACACCACCCGAACAGCACAGCCCACGGCAACGGTCCGACACCCTTCCAGTCGACGATCTCATTCAGTATTGGGAAAGTTTGGCCGCCGGGGCCGACGAGGAGGAGCCGTTGCCGCCGCTCACACCACCGCAAACATCGCCCGTACGGCACACATCTGCGCCCCGACAACCACTCACCCCGGCCTCTGTGCCGTACGGCCAGCTCTGGGACGTACGGGTGGCCGATATGTCGGCGCTGTTGAACAGGGCGTACGCCGAGGAGGAGGGGGCAACCGGTGGTGCTGCCGATGGCAGCGGTTCTTGGGGTGAGCTGTGCGTCACCAGCGGTTCCGATGAAGAGACAAAGGGCTGGACTTATGAGCAAAAGTTGTCCGCATATGTGCGCACACTTCGCGACCGATACGGTGTGGACATCGATTTGGCCAAACCCTTGGGTGAGGGCACGACCGGCACAGTGTATCCGGGGAGGTATAACGAGCAGGTACGTTTTATATTAATTAATTTCAACATTTCTCAATTATTACTTACATGTAAAGTAATATTTTGCTTCATTTTTATATCTAGATTGTAAACATCGGGCTTAAAGGTCAACGATTTTTGTGGGATGTCATCCCCGGCCAGACGTGTGCCGCCAAATACGTGCGCTTCGAGCCGAGTGCGGGACTCGAGGACCGGTTGGCACAAGTGGTCGAGAAATACATACTTAAAACGCTCCAACACTCACACGTTGTCACATATCAATTGGTCGTAAATCTGGGTAAAAGTCGACTCTTCTCCAGGAAAGCGGTCATTGAATCGGACGACACGGACGAGGAGGGGGTGATCGGCGATCACATGTTTCAGGGCATCGGTCGGGATATTATTAGCTACGAAAGTATGTTCACCATCATGGAGCTCAGTGATCAGGGTACTTTGAAGGACTTTGCCAAAACCCATGAGTTTAATGGCCGAATGTGTGTCATATTTATCCAGCAATTGTGCGATGGTATGTATCAGCTCTCTCTTCACCAAAAAA